TATTTAGTCCATTTGCAAATGAACCGATCAATGACTGCTCACACCTTTAATAATAGTTCGAATCGGATGGGTTGATAGAAAATCGGAATCAATTCAATGTGAACCGGTTTTTTACCAAATTGATCCATAGCAAAGTTTTATTCCACATTTGCAAATGAAAGGGATTTGAACCATTGTATGCATCATGTATTGAAGGATAGAATCTTGACCACTGCGACACTTGTAGTACCCTTGCAATTTATGTAAACGAAATATACATACAATTTTAATAAAATGACATAAAAATATTTGTTTTAAAACAATATTTTTTAATTGAAATTATAGTATAACGAAGATTCATCGATTGAATTAGTGACCCACAGATTGAACTAATAACTCGACGAGTCGATGGTTTGTTTGGGTTGATGATCAGATAGATTATGATAATTTTGATTTTAGGCATGTCTACAAAATAGTTCGTAGTTGACGTCTGAAAATGAAAATGATGCAAGAACAAAGAAATAACGAGAAGGAAGGGCAAATTGGTCATACAAAATAATTGGTGTGATGAAGCAAGTATTTACGGAGTAGACAATATTGGTTATTAACATCATATTTGATAGTATCACATTCATTTTAAAAGTTATTTTTTATAACAAAGGTTCAAATTTGACAAACACGTGATGTACAACTAATTTTATTGATGTAATAAATAAAAGAGAAATGTTAAATGTACACCAAAGTTGACACTCTCCTAAGAGGGTGTATACGGCGTACTTTAAGGACTGGATCTGTTCACTTTTCATCCAAATTATCTCTGCAAGTTCTCTTCTCCAATTCACAAATTTCATTATCAATCTTCCAATCTCTAGGAAAACAAGTAAGTTTTATGAATAAAGAGAAAGAGCTTATGCAAAAAACTATCAGAAGGAGACGTGATCTCGATCAACCTTCTGTCAGTCAGTTTTCAAAAATAGTGACCAAAAAACATACCGTGAGAAAAAGAAAAAAGAAGGTACAGCATACATGGTAGAGAGGGAAATACATTGGCTACAACTTCATAACACTTGTTGGTTTCCCATATGGTGAGCACTGGCGCAACCTCCGGCGCTTCACTACACTTGAAATATTTTCTTCCAGTCGCCTCAACATGTTCCTGTCCATACGACAGGATAAAATCAAGCGTCTGCTGCAAAAGCTCTATCAAAGTTCACACAGTGGCTTTGCAAATGTTGAACTCAAATTTTTATTTTCAGAGCTATCCTTTAATATTATTATGAGAATGGTGGCTGGGAAGCGATATTTTGGAGAAAATGAGGACAGCAAGGAGGCAAAGCATTTCCGCAAACTTATTGATGAAGCGTTTTCACTTGGTGTCGGTTTAAATTTAGGAGATTTTCTTCCACTTCTGAGATGGATAGACTACAAAGGGCATGAGAAGAATTTGGCTAGGCTAAGTGCGAAGATGGATGCATTCTTGCAAGGTCTGATTGAGGAGCATCGCCATAACAAGAATGGAAATACCATGATCGATGATTTGCTTTTTTTGCAAGAATCACAGCTAGAATATTACACAGACACAATCATCAAAGGGATTATGACGGTAAAACTTTCAATTCTTTTTTCTCATGTCCTTCTGGAGCATTAAAAACAATTTGAATTTGAACTTAATTTGGTGTGTGAATTACATTTACTGTCCAATACAATTTACCCGGGACAGATACCTCTGCAGTGACCATAGAATGGGCTTTGTCGGCTTTGCTCAACCACCAGGAGAAGCTGGAAAGGGCTAAAGCTGAGATTGACAGTCTTGTGGGCAATGATCGTCTGGTCGTGGAATCAGATTTGTCCAAACTTCATTATTTACAAGCAATTATTTCTGAGACTTTTAGATTGTTCCCAGCAGTTCCATTGCTCGTGCCACATGAAGCATCATATAACTGTAAAATTGGGGGTTATGATATACCCCGTGGCACACGGAGACATCGTGTGCGCACACGGTGTCTCCATTTTTTTTAAACACCAACTCTATCCCTAAGAATATTATTTTAGCGTGTATGATATGTACTATAACGAATGTTGTACAAAAAATTTTAATTTGTAAACGTGAAAGATATTTAGCAGGTAAAAAAACAATTGTCAGGATGGAGCATGTGATGCG